GCCGTCGAAGAACACGTTCGCCATTCGTCTGCGAACAGTCTGTCTCGCAGCCATAATCATAAACCTGGGAGATTCGAGTGCACATTGTCGCGATATTTTCCCATTTTAAGCACGAGCAGCGTGTTCAACGCTGGATTAAATTACATTTTTTATGTGGGCTCCCGCGGGACGATTCCGCACTGATTGTAAAAACGTCCCGATGGTTTATACTGTTCTCTGCTTTTACCGCAGTCGTCACATGCGTTACTGCAAAACTAACGTTGCATTTCTCAAGTTATAAATTTACATAAAAAAAAATTTTTTTAAAAATCACGAATAAAATAATACTACCCACTTTCACGACTCTCGAAGACCAATCGTTCATGGAATACTTTACATACAATATAGAAAATGTTCATAGAAAATTGTACGGACCTACCTACCTGTATAAATTTTAGAATATTCGTATATTTGTAATACGTAAAATACATGACGCGTATGTTTATAATATGTTTATAAGTGTGTCTTGTTGGACACTGGCGTGGAGGCAAAAGGGGTGCTGCTACCCCATAAGATACGATCGTTAGGGGAAATAGGTTAAATAAAGAGTGGAAACGGCAGAAGCGCATTTAAACGACATATAATGAGAAAATGGGTTTCGAGCGGGACGCGAACAGGGCGGAAACGCATTTAATCAGCGAGATAGTGGCGACGTAGAGGGTAAAAGGAGTTACTTTAATGAAATTTAAGATCGCAAGACGTGGCGAAATATTTTTGTGAAAAGTCACCGTGGATGGTGAAATGAGAAAAAGGAGCCGTCGAAAAAGCCACTCGAAGGAAATGTTCAAAGGGAAAGAAAGTGCTTGCCCCGAGTGAAAGAAGGGGGAGAAAGCATCGTGCAACGTGTCAAGAGAAGAATACCATAAAAGACGCCACACTAAAGGGAAACTAATGCATTTAAACGAGACATTTTGTGGATAAGATGCTTCCAAGGAATTATTTAACCCAGTATTATTCTCTAGGTTCGTTGGCTACAGCAATTTAGTGCTGTACCTTTGCATTTATCGTATGTATAAAATAACTGAAATAATTAGCACATTTAATCAGATATATCAGAAAAAAGAAAAAAACGAAGAGAGGATGCTGTACGTTCAGAATTAAACATTAGGAAGATTCATTTGCACTCGCATTATTCAATTCACTGTTTCAATCGACAATTATTCCGTCGTTTATAATTTTCCATATTTATCAATTCGTCAATTCACATTTGTTAAAATACACGCACACCATTGAAGCAAGATCATTCAGCAAAAATTAGAAGAAATTTCCTAACTGAGCGTTTAACTTAATTCTGTTATGTAAGTAATTTTTAATATCGTACAAAGCATTTGTAATATTGTGCAAATAAAGATGGAAGAGCAATGGCTTATGGGTTGAGCTTCGCAGTAATTGTTTGAACTTAGTTGTAAGGGAAATATTGGACAAGTGACTGATACGCCTGGGATATTTCACGGCTGCTCTACTCGCAACGTCTGACTACTGACAGACCTATGCTACTGAAACTTACCGGACTTCACACGTCGACGTGAAGGCGCAACTAATTTTTTCCCTTATCTCTGTCAGTTGATTTCATCCGTGGCAAAGCACGTTATCAAGGTTATCGAACAAGCTACGATATTTCGAAACCACCAGGCTATTTTCATATGTTGGCAACTAAGTGATTGCGGGTTTTGTCATTAGGTGATATTGAGAAAACCCGCAATCATTTAGTTGCCAACCTAATAGAAACGGAGGAAGAAGTCTGACTCGATGGAGGCCGATGCGTAGCCAGGCTGGCCAATATTATTCCGTGCGAATTCCAAGCGAAACATTGCAGGGATGCTGTTCAAACGAATGCACGTCGAGCTGCAAATATTTTGCTCGATGGCAAATATTTAAACACGACTGTGCATATTGTACATGTTCCTGCAATCGACGCGAATTATAGGACCATTCGTCGAGTTTCTCGTAACCATAACCAGATATATAATAGCAGCTATCGTCGATCGATTATAATATTGCAGCGGATCGTTAAGAGAATTTTTTATAAATTATTCCCATAATTTCTACAATTTATTCTTATAATCTAGCAATTAATATTTCTATATTATTAATGTAACAAATTGATATGTGTAATGATGTAGAATATAAAAAGATGATAAGTCTCTATCTTCTTTTATTTAATTTCAATTATTTTCGTCGATTCTTCGATTTCTGTGTCACTTGACCAGAGATTGTGGAAACCTAAAGTGACGAATATTGCGCTGAATCGTTGAGGAATAATGTTAGGTTGCTATATATGAAGACTATAATATAAGAAAAATTTATTTTTATTACATTAATTAATTTCTAATTAATACAACGAACGAACAATCTCTGAGCAAAATCTCTTTAATCGCATCCTCAAAATTTGCTATTTAAATATTAATCTAACATTTATAATTTCCGATATTCTCCAATTATTCTATTATCATTAAATATTTATAACGTCCAATATATACATAATTAGAAGTTACAATATTTAATAATTAATAATTAACAAAAATTACAATATTTAACAGGTGAAACAAATATCTGCTTATTTATTTCCACTTCTATTGCAACTAACTCACTTAGTTGCCAACCATATAATAGTCTACGAAGATACAAATCTACGTAAAAATGCACAATGTACACGTAAACATCTTCCACAGAAACCACCCCAATATTCACATAATTTGCTGTATCTGAAGATGTCGTACAGCGCTTCTTGCCCCCTCCCCTCCACCTACGCTTGACTTGAGCAAAACTCATCGTGGGAAAATCGAGAAAAGAATAAAATGGGAGATAGAATTAAAAAAACTGTCGGACAGAGTTAAAGTAAATGGGACGATATTAAGCTAAGAAGGAAGAGTCGCTTATCGACGCAACTCGAAGAGGTAAAGGGGTTGGAGCCACGAAATCTTGTCGGATTAAGAAACTAAAAGCATTCTGTGAAAGGCACCGGTTCCCATTGTGTCTGGCAAGTTCAGCACTGACTGCAGTTATTTCTCGTCCAATGCAATTCGCCAACTTCCGATTTCCTATTTTAATGGACTCAACCCCCGCAGTTCCGATAATGTGTCTGTTTCTTGCGTAAACTGTGTCACGGACGAAAGGGGTGAAAGAGGGTGGAAGGCAGCGAGTAGTTGATAGAAACTCTTGGACAATTAAAAATCCGTCGGCCCACCCCTTCTTCATCGAGCTTTGTCTCTAGTTGCCAGAGTAAATCGTTTCTTCGTCAGTGGTTCTCAAGTGGCTGTCGTCCAATTTCTTCAGATTGCCGAAATATTTTTTCTGCGCCATTTGTTGAACATTGACGAATATTTTCTACTCGTATGTTCCTGTATATCGATGGGTTTGCATGGAATTATTTTAATTCCTACGTTAAGTATCATCGTGTCGATTGTAGTTTTGCGTTTAAATAATTTTATGGGGTTGGCAACTAAGTGATCGCGGATCTTGCCATTACCACCTAATGACAAAGTCCGCAATCACTTAGTTGCCAACCTAATATTATAATTATCAGTTTGATGCCTTTCTGCCTCGTCAAGCGACAGTTTGAGGTTAGGTTGGGCTTGGCAACTAAGTGATCGCGGATTTTGCCATTACCACCTAATGACAAAGTCCGCAATCACTTAGTTGCCAACCTAATATTATAATTATCAGTTTGATGCCTTTCTGCCTCGTCAAGCGACAGTTTGAGGTTAGGTTGGGCTTGGCAACTAAGTGATCGCGGATTTTGCCATTACCACCTAATGACAAAGTCCGCAATCACTTAGTTGCCAACCTAATATTATAATTATCAGTTTGATGCCTTTCTGCCTCGTCAAGCGACAGTTTGAGGTTAGGTTGGGCTTGGCAACTAAGTGATCGCGGATTTTGCCATTACCACCTAATGACAAAGTCCGCAATCACTTAGTTGCCAACCTAATATTATAATTATCAGTTTGATGCCTTTCTGCCTCGTCAAGCGACAGTTTGAGGTTAGGTTGGGCTTGGCAACTAAGTGATTGCGGCTTTTGCCATTACCAAGTAATGACAAAGTCCGCAATCACTTAGTTGCCAACCCAATAGATGCTTAATTTATGTTGTGAATGATGAACGTTCGAAGTTTAGGCGAACGAAACGCGTTGAATTAACTCTAACGTAGCTTGATTCGTATTTTCCTTTATAAATTATTACGTATGCTTTGATTTTCATGTCAGATATTTTCTGCCTTGGGATAATTTCAATTTGTCTCGGATCGGTGTGGTGGAATTTCGTAAATTAGTTTTAATATAATTTTTCCCTAAAATTTTAAGATGACAATTTTATCTTCTGAAATAATTTTACGTCTTTTAATACAAAATATAACGTGAATTATTCTACTGACCTATGACCTATGATGTGGGTATTGAAAGTTAAAACCGTGCACAGCAAAGCGAAACGGAAAATCTTCCAATTTCCGATAATGTTCAATAGTCTGCAATCGATGGAAAAAAGCGATATCATTGGAATTTTTACTGTTACCAATATTCTATTCTTCATTCGAGAATTCCTTGTTTGTTTTTTAATTGGCTGTGTATTTGACAAACGAATTAATTAACGATATGAAATTGGCTATTTTTCGGTAGATTAACCTTCTTGAACCAGTAACAAAACAATGTTTTTACTGTCAATAATTATTGATTAAGCAAATTATTTACAAATAATTATAAATCGACAAAAGTCAGCTTTTATATCGTTGAATACTCTCTATAAATACAATTAATTACGTAAATAATAAAATATATCGCTTATTTCGTGTATTTTATATATTGCTACGCTCTCATTCTAAAGAGAATCAACAGCTTTGATGATGGACAATAAAACAGACAATTATAATGAATATAAAAAATATAATAAATTATTATTTTAATGATATAGTCGTAAAAATGCTTGAAGCTGGTATTTTATTTTCTGGTGATTTTCTCTTGTTGCAGGTGGTAAGAGCTGCAAGCCCTGTTCTTCTACGCGTTATTGTACTAGGTGCATTTTTCATATACTGCACGGTAAGTAGCATACTCTACCTACATTTTCACGAAATTTTATTTTAAACGTGGGTTATAAAAATAATAATTCTATTTCTCCTTCTTAAACAAATACAGAAAAATTAATGTAAACACTTTATATGTGCTACATACTGAAACAAAAAGGAACTATATAAGATACGTATGAAACTATTCTCATGTAACATGCAGTTTTCAATATAAAATAAGAGAGAAAACCGGTATGACGACATTTTTTTTCTAAAAAATGATCAGAGGAGAACCACGATAATGTCACTTCGACCTAAAATATCATTCAGAAGAAAAAAGCTATAGTGCTATTTCCCCCTAAAAGCACATTCAGTATATCCAAAGAAACATTCGATTAAAACATTCATCTAATCTAATTTAAACTTAACTTACGAATCAGAATTTAATCTGAACCTAATCTTGTTCAAATATAACATAGATTCGACTAAACTCTGTCCCAAAACAGATCTGAAACGAGTCTAAACTACGTCTAACCAAACTCAGTGAGTCAAATCAAATTAACCTGTATCCTGAAGCAAATTGAAATCTAACCTCAAAATAGGAAATGAACCTAACCTAAAATTAAGATGAACCTAATCAAGATAGGAAATGAACCTAACATAAACCCATCACAAAGTCAGTGAATCAAGCTAAATTGAACTCTATCTCAAGAGAGACCTAAGCTAACCTAACCTAAACCTAGCCAAAATCAGTGAATCAGACCAAATGAAGCTCTATCCCGAAGCAAATTGCAACCTAACCTCAAAATAGAAGATGAAGAGCTAAAATAGTCGACAAACACTAAAGCTCACGGCGGTTATAAAGAATAATAACAAAGTTAATCGATGCCTTTTATACGAATAAATCGCTAGTGGTGGACCGTGTAATTTGAGAGCCGCTTAAACAGCCATTCAGCGTGAGCTGTTCTTGTATAAAATGCAATTGATAAGTTCATTCGGAAGTCTTTATCCGGCAATCGAGCACACTTGCCTCTTGTGTGACCGTGAAACCGACGATCTGTAGACACGAAAATGGCGGAGCAAAGGCGATACTAGCGCCGCTCAAACGAAAATTAACCTAATCTTAGAGCGTGACGCGGCACGCGAGCTCGCGTTCTTCCATGAAAAACATTCTTTCGATATCAGCAATTATCCTCATGCGATGCACCCGTAGAACGAGAAAGAAATTTTCCTGTCGAGAGGAAAGAATGTGAAGAATCGAGAGAACTTCTCGTTCGTTTAATTTCTCGAAACATTAGATTATAAGAATAATTGCATCGTAGGGATTTTATATCGTCCGTTTAACGGTGCTTGTGTCGTAGGAATTTTCTTTCCCGCGTTTAATAACTGTGGATTTTTATACATTTATGAGAGGTTACTATAAATTATTGTAATTTCAACTGTTGTTACATCCAAACTATTTTCAATTTTTGTCATTTTTATTCTTTTTACGGTTACTTTTATACTTTTCGCGATAAATATTGCGAAATCATAATGGCGCGCTGTAAAGGAAAAATCTAAGAAGTACGATTTTGTCGATACTATCTGCCTTTATTAAATGGAATATTTTCGGTTCTAAGCCCCTTGTGATGCCAAGAAAAATTCAATTTATAAGAATTCATAGAAAAAGAAGAAACTCAAATTTCTAAGTAAATCTAACTTTTCTCCACAGACGTTGAATTATGGTAAATGGAAATCAACTTCTTTGTTTCAGACGATAGTAATGTATCCACGTCCGAACGTCATAACCTGTACAGTGCGTGTGTGGCTGAGGGAGATTGGGTTTTCTCTCACCTATGGAGCTCTCATGTTAAAGACTTGGCGGTGAGTACAAATAGCGTTGTTGGAAATGTTTAATTCCATGTGCCATACTAAGATCCGACGAACGATGTTTGCTTTGCAAATGGGAATCCACTTCACTCAAATTACAGTTCCAATTTGCACACTGACACGCGTGCGGAAAATTACGCGGTTGTACGTTTTAATTTCCTTACAGAATTCCTAAATAACCAACAGTTCTGACGAGTTTCGAATACTATATTTCATATTATATAATTGTATAATTTTCTGAGGAATAGTTTTATTATTAATAGAATAGTTAGGGAAAGTTTTAGTAGCATTGTAATGTTTGCTTTATATTTGAGGTGAATCTCATTGGAAATGGAAATCCACGAATTTTGATTTTAAACTTCATATGGGCCAAAAGTTAAATCGATTTAAACCTAATCTGAATAAAACGATTATTTTAACTTAGTGAAAATGACATTCCGTAAGTCAGAATAATTTTCCTCTACTTCAAACGATTTTCCATGAGTCAATCATGTTTCTCCGCGACTCGAAATAATTTCCCATGGCCCGTCAAAGCAATTTATACAGATTTCACACTCTTACTATTACATTACATTACATCGAAATAGTTTTCTTATTCACAATGAATTTTCCTGAACACCAAATTATTTTCCATGGTTCAGAGTGATTTGTACTGATTTAGAATAACTTTCCTTTGAATACTAATAGCTGTTATACTTAAATAGAAAAATTCTTCTCTATGCTAAGAAATTTTCTTTAACTTTAAACGATTTCCCATAAACCCGAGTAATTTTCTATGGATCAAAATGAGTTTTTGTGACTCACAATAATTTTCCATGACTTACCGTTACTTGAGACACATCTTAAGCTGTCAATATCTTCTTCCAAAAGTTACACTACCTCCTTCCAATCCCACCAAACTTCGCATAGGTCATTCAGTTTTCCCATAACTAAAAGAAAACATCCTTTTCCTCAACCAGATTTTCCTTTTCCAATCTCTTCCGTCACACGTCAGAAAAATTTCGTCTGTCGCAATTCTCCAATTTACAGTGTTCAGCCAATTTTCCTCGATCTCGAAAGAATCTAGTCGATGAAACAGTGGCACTTTTCGCACTTCATCCCCTAGTTGGAAAGAATCGGAAGAATCGTTTCCCACGGTTAGAAGTGCACCGTCCTGTCTCCATTCTCTTGCTTTCGTCCCCGACTTCTCGCGTTCGATAGATTTCCACCGATCAACCCTCTGACTCAGTTGCTCCGAAGGGTTGAAACGTGAAAAAAAAGAAGGTCAGTAGTTTCTAGCGGTGGCTTCGTCGACCAACGAGTAATGTATCGTTCCTTTCGTTTTCTTCTTCTTTTTTGCGAAGATTTTTCCCACGAGATCGCTGGTTTCAAGAGCAGCTGCAGGATTTCCGTCGGGCACGGAGATTCCGGGACAAAGATTGCCTCTACTTTCATGCCCCAGCCCATTTCGTTTGCGAAGAAGAGAAATAAAAGTACGCTCTCGTGGCTCGCCCCTGGAATTCGTAAGCCATTCGGACTGCACCTCGTTTTCGACGAACAAAGCTCGGCCAAGTGAGCACGATTCTGTCCTTTTACTGTATTCTTCGCCAGTCGAGTGATAAACCACTCTTTCATCGTGAAACATTGATCTATTTTAAAGGGTTGAGGGATGGATGACGATTTCCGCGGACGGCACGTTCCGATTTCTTTCTTTCGATAATGGCAGAAGTTAGTGAGATGGAAAGCATAGAAACTTGAAAGAAGCTTGGAAAGTTAAAGAAAATAATCGTGATTGAAGGAGAGTCTTATTTGAGTTACGGGAAAATTTATTGAACTCATGGAAATGTTACTTGAGTCATAGTAAAATGTATTCCAGTCGTGAAAATGTTATTTGAGTCAGAGGAAAATTTATTGGAGTTATAGGAATTCTGTTTGAGTCGCGGAAAAATTTATTAAAGTCGTGGAAATGTTACTTGAGTCAGAGGAAAATTTATCGATGACATGGAAATGTTGCAAGAAAATCTATTGAGGCCTAATTGAAATTTAATTTGATTCGTGGGAAAATTTATTTAAATAGTTTGAGTCATAGAAAATTCACTAAAGTCACATGATATTTTTTCAAATCATGTAGGAACTATTAATATTCACTAACGCCGTATTAATGTAATCTAAACTGCCATTTGAAGCAAAACTGACCCTTGAACCGGCAAGTTGCTGTAATATCCTGTGGACGATGTACTTTTCTTCGTTGTCGAAGCTAACACAATTAACCAAGGCCCTGAAACTTGCTGTTAAACTTGCTACACTGGGTCCACTGTTAAACTTTCTCTTTCTTCGTCTACTAGTACGCTCGCCATTACACCCAGTCCTTGTTTCCGGCATTCTAATGTTATTTAGCCGAAGTTGCCGCTTAATCGACGCGACGTGCAACTTTGTCAGAAGCTGCAAGTTATAATTAACGGAAGTCGACTCAGCCAGCTAATGCACAGGCTTGACTTACACGAGAAATCGACACACATAATTAGAAATTCCGGCTGGAAACTCAAAATTGCCTCTCTGATCACGTCTCTGTTTCCTTTTGTCTTGCTTAACCGATTGTTCCACGAAATTTGAGAAGTTTCATGATATCATCTATTAATTAACTCCCGCCCACGTAGTATCATGTCATTTTGAGAACTCGATCGCTACCTGAAACCGAGAGATGTATTTTTCTATATTATTAGATTTCAAAGGGGAGAAACTAATAAGAAAATAATAAGATTTCGGTTTCCCAATTTTTCATATTGCGGCGTTTCAAAGGGAAAAAGGTTTGGCAATAGGAAATTCGGTTTTATAATTTCTATTATCTAATTTCCAAATTGCGGCATTCCAAAGAGGAAAGGATATGTTTCATTGTTTTATGCGCATCTGAGTGACCGTAAACCAAATGTTACAATCACAAAAATAGTAATCCTTTTTTTTTTTGCAAATAAAAGTTAATTTTGTGCAAATACTCTGTATCTTCACTGATCGAAAAGCCAATAATCTGATATCCACAATTTTGAAGAATCTGTGTGTTCTAATATTTCAAAACTTAAGTATGTTATGTTTAATATTATAAAATTAAAATTTAATATGCAAGCTAATATAATAAATATTCTAACACTCAGGAATTATATATGGGAAAAATTATTCATTATCGAACTAATTATCGTCATAAGAATTTCCCAGGATTTAAAACCCTAAATTCGAAGCTCTTCAAGCTTTTGCTCGCTTTTAAAGAATTTCATGACGCGCGTCAGCTTATAATTTCAAACTTTCGAGATACGCGGTCTAAATTTCCCCAAACTTATCACCACTCAGATCAAACCCGGTAAAGCTGCCTGCTGATTAAAAATAATCCAATTCCGATAAAAACTCTGCGTCTGCGATCCAAAAGTTCTCGCCTGTCTCTCCCGTTTGAATCTTCAATATTTTCCAAACTCGTAATTTACTTGCCACGGGACGAGCCGTTGTACTTTGTTTGTATCGGTGACGAAAAGTGGCAAACTCGCGCGGAATATTAACTTAACCGACGACACAGAAATAAAACTGAATAATTCGTGGCCCTCTGCCTTCAGACTGGATTAATCCTGAGCCCCTGGGTTCTTTGACGAAAGTTGAAAGTGAGGAAAGTTCGCCTGAATGACGTCAGGAAAATTATTTTCGTCCGCCTGATAATCAAAGCTTCATTAATCATCGTTGATACACCCTTAGGCATATTTTCCTTTGATACTCGAAAACTTGCGGTAATTACACTAAATAAACCGACCATCCAAACGTTAATGTACAGAAGTACTGTATTGGCAACTAAGTGACTGCGGATTTTGTCAATAGGTGGCATTGACAAAACCCGCAGTCACTTAGTTGCCAACCCAATATGTGCACAGTTGCTTACCTTTGGCAGAAATATTTTGTTACTGAATTCTGAATTTCCAAGATTCATTTACAATATATGAGCGTACTCTATCGACTCTCGATTAGTATTAATTAATTAATAGAAATTAGCAACGTTACAAGGAACAGAATAAGAGCCATTGCTGTAAATGTCGAATATTTCAATCTATTTGAATTTTTTTCAAAACGTAGTCGATAAACGCAGGAAATTCTTTAATAAAGAAACAGCTTGAGAAGTCTTTGTATTTGGAGAATATTTCAATGTTCTCCAAATTTTTATTCAAAAGCAATTTTTTTACCAAACCTTGTAAGATGGATTCAGAATCCTTGGTACAAAATAAAATCTTCCTTCCGCCATTTCTAAACCCAATTCGACCATATCCACGATCAAACAAGGATTAAACAAGTCTTCGTCATCTTAATAATTAATATTAACAATAATGAATTAATACGATGAAATGAGTTTAGAATAATGTTAACAATACTGTAAAGTAAATTGATAATGTTCAGATGTAGAATAGGAGAAGTTTCCATCGTCGTCCAGGATTTAGCAGCTGCAATTTTCCACTTAGCCGCTTCAAGATTCACCGATTCACCTGTTACCTGTGTTTAGCACCAAGGACACATTGATCTTGTCCAAGACCTGGCCGATTCCCTAAAGCAATGGCGAAACTTTTCCCTCAGACTGGGTAGCTTGCTGTCAGAGGTTCTTATTCGCCTCGAGGATCGCTTCCAGTGGTCACGACAATTGGGTCAACCAAGGTGTACAAGTAATTAAACGGATTCCTTAGGCAAACGAAACGATCGTATAGCAGAACGTAGTGCATTGTAATCGTCGATTCTACGTTCCGTTTCCTCGACCAAGATCGCGTTTCACTGCGAATGGAAACTCGGACTGTTGAATCTTAGACCGAGCCAGTGGATGTACTTAATCTACATCTTGTTGAATAGGTAGCGCTCTCGCGGGAAAACTCGACAGTTTGATCAAGGTGGAGACTGGTGTTTGAAGCAGTCTGAGAACGTCGCCGACTGCTTGTCGGAGGGATCGATGAGCGAGAGTTTTAAGGCTTTTGGGACTCGGATTGTCCCACGCAACATCGATACATTTAGCACTTTTGTGGTCAGCTACTGACGTTGCGAATTCTCAACTAAATGGAGATCGGTCAGGTTCAACTGATCGATTGATATAACCTTGAACGAGATTAACGCTCAAGCTGGAGGTAAATTAAGTATATCCAGTATTGGCATGGTTTGGTAATTTATTTGCACTTTTAGTATACACAAAGAGTTTGACGATCTGATGAAGACTGTGGTAGGATGTTGCTGCTACTCTCGCCAGAAGCTTCGTATCGTCGTTACATACTGACTTTCCAGCCCCGGTTTTTCCATGGTTTATTGTCTTCTGGTGGGCGCATATCCTTTGGTATTGCCAGCTGTTCAGCTTCGCCTTGACTGATCGGGCACTTAAACTGTTGTTTAGCCTCTTAATGAGGTCAGCATCGTAAGGTCTACAGCCTGGACAGGTAGGCAATTCGGACCTTGCCGAAAAATGATGTGAAGGATGTGTCGTCCAAGTCATAAATTGACAGCCACTCCAAATCCAGTTTTCAGTGTAGCCCATCTCAAAGGATGATGCTAAACTGGCTGGTCTTGAACATTCTCACTGAACAGTGTTACACTTAGTACTGTTACGGTTAACATTGCTTGGAATTTGCTGTGGTTATACTGGTAATCATAGTAATTATGGTAATACCGTTTGATGCTTCCGACTATAAGCGGTATCCAAGTGGAGAAGGATTCCAACGCTTAGTTAACTGCAATGGACAGGAAAGCTTCTCCTGTTGGAGATGGTCTGACCTAAGAATGGAAATTGGCGAGTTAGAAAAGAGACTTTCCTCGGGGTTTCAAAGGTCCCCTTCAGTTGGGAGAATCTTGAGATTGATTAAAATCTGCGAAAACGAATCTGAAGTTCCATAAATGGGACTTTAAATTGTATTAAATCATCAGCCTGTTTCATGGCGTAAATTCTGTAGTACGATACTCTTGCTAATAGATGTATCGTCGAATGAACCTCTGAGACGATTATCAAAGGTCAAGCCCACTTAGGTGGATTCTCCTTCGTTCCACCAGCGAAAACAGCTTTTTTCCAGTCTTTCTTGTGTCGCTTCCTTTATCGCCACAAGTGCACTCCTCGGAACAGATTTCATCCTTGAGGTCGCATCCTTTGAACACGCTCTATTGGTCAGGAAAACGGTCACGCTACTAAATCTCGAGCATCCTTGCATCCTGCCGATAGCGATGTTCTACTTGCTCCACTATTTTAAGGGCCAGAGTTTAAGGAGCATTTAAGAGACTTTCTGTTCAGCTTCGGAAAAAATTAGAAGATCTTGAACATTTAGTACAAGTGTCCTTTTCGTGAAAGCGTTTAGGAAGTTATTTAATAGCCTGATAGTCATCTAGGCGGCACCTGGACATAGGATAGAGAATCATTGTGGTCCACAGTAATTCTTGGTCCATTTGCATAGTGATTGGAGGAGTTTGAGCATTTTATAAACTAGGACAGAGATGACAAGAATTCTCCCAGCAATTTAGCTACTGATCTAAAAATGAAATAGATGACGACTAATCAATAGGAATTCTTGGTCCACTCGATAGGTAATAATCAAAAGAATAAAAATAAAATACACCATTGTAAGTCTCCCATGTTTCTATAATTTTGACCACCATGGTAGGTAGCCCCAGCGTTAACCCAAAATATCAGGAGGGTGCCATGCAAAGAGAGAGCTACCAATCTTCATAAAAGACCATAAAAATCCCAAAATAATGCATCGTTGCAAATCTTCAAAATACCTTGATATCTAAAAATCAAAAAATCCCTAGAATCTAAGAATTATAGAGTGAATATAAAAACATATACCATATAGTAAATATAAGAGCCATAATAGCAGAGACTAGTACACAAACCTTGTCATTGTCTATCGGCTGAAACCTGGCTATTGAAGATTTCACGTTTGCTCATTGAGAGAACTGTCCGAATCTGGCAATAAACAGCGTTCCCTTAATCCCTATTGAACATTGCCTTATTCTCAAAATCCTAGGTTAATAATAGACGATAACCAGATGTTGGCGGATTTTGTTTGCAGAATATCGGTGATATTCCGGGTGAAATCGGCGAAAGCGGTGAAGATAACGGATGGAAGTCTGCTGAAGCGACTGGGCGTCATCGTGATGACATTCAGCGTGTTCCTGAGCATCCGCACGCTGGTTGCACCGCCTGTAGTTATAGTGGCACGAACAGCGGACGACCTGAAGGCTTATCTCTGCCGGACTGACTGGTGGGATCACAGTTTCATCATACGTGAGTGCTTTAACTCTCGACCAATCGCCTAATGCATGCCTTTCCTCTATCATCTCTCGTCTCACTGTGTAATAGGCACTGCGTAGAACACTATCAGTTGCACTGTGTTTTGATAGAACGATTTGAATCAATGGCCTCTATCGAGTAGGAAAGTTTGAAGAGGACTGTTGATGAAGTGCGATTATGTGCACATGCACTTTGCGGCCATTTTGAAATTTGATATTATGAAATTATGGACTTCTGTTAAGGTTATTTTTGGTGTACAGATTGTAGCGATAGGTTAGGTAATACCGATGTGACATTGTTAGTATGGAAGTATATTAAAAGGTGATATTTTAAATAATATAAAAGATAGTACACTGAAAAATGTATGTTTGTGCTTTGATAGTAAGTCGGAATATAATTGAAAGTACTTGACAGTATCTGAAATTAGTTTAAATTGTCCAGCACGATTCAAAAATAACAATTTCTTGGAAATCCAAACTGAAAGGTAGCAGCTAAAACTATTTGATAGCATCTGAATAGTCGTTGTAGTATTTCAGGATATTTGAGAATATTTGAAAGCATCATGTATCTTAAACTACTACTGAGAATTATCTGAGACAATTCTCAAATAATTTTAAACAATTTTATAATTCTAATTACCAATAGTAATTTTATGATTTTGACCAATTGGCAAATTTGTAATGAGTTTGCTGGCAATGATGAAAGAATTGAAGATTGGAAAATTTTAATAAAGGATATAATTGAAAATTATTGAAAAAAATGTATTATATCTAAGACAAATTGCGTGGTCGGTGCAGATACCAATTTTCTACAAAACTTTTACTACGAGACATAAATTTTAAGCCACTTAACGTCATCCTATGGTATCCTGCAACGTAAAACTTTGCGGGTTCCATCTCTCGATTGATTTATAAAGCGATTTTAATTGGTTTAAACACGACCATAGGGAGTTTTCATAGGAGATATTGCCTTGGTAAGGACAGTTATTAAGCTTCCGCAAGAGATATCAGCCCATTCGGCGGACGTCTAACTCATTGGTTCGTCGATAACCATTCGTCACCGTACTTTTCTTGCAGTCTCGTAGATATGGAAATTTTCTTCGAAGAAATCACCCGTTAAATTCATTGAACAAAGGTTAGGATGCTATCTGGCAATTGTGCCAACGTTTTAACAAATAAAAACTGTCAGTATCGCCATCTAGTCCAGCTAAAGTCCAGCGGAAAATATTTCCAGCACTACAATCGTTCAAATAAAATAATGTAACTGCTATGTTAATAGGGAATTTATGTATCTCACTATAAAGCGTGTTTGCTTCCTGAAATTATCACCAGCTAGTGAGAATGTGCAGAGGTTTGAATTTTAGACATTTTATTTATTGGGGAATTTGTATTGTAGAAGTTCGTGTAGAATTAAGAACTGGTACGGTGGAAATTATCGGAGGATTTAGATATTGGAAATTTTGATTATTGGAGAATTTGTATGTTGGAGATTTTAATTACTAAGGAAATGGGGATTGTGAAAGGTTCGTCGATTGAGAAATATAAATTTTCGAAGTTTCGATATATACATATATTCTTAGATAATATTTCATGAATAAATACGAGATAAATTCTTTACTGGAAAATGAAATGATAAAAAAGAGAAAAAATAAATCAACGTTTATTTGCTGTAGGCAAAGTTTCAGGATGGATCAGCGCTCAAATAAATTTCGTGGCAAATTCAAACATATCCCTTCGCAAATAAAATGTGAAACAGGAGTGGAAAGGTATAAGAAACGATGTTCAATATTATCGTGAAATGAAGAGTAATGGCTATGGTTACAGTTTTTTCACTCCGCTCCTGATTTTACATGGTTAAAGCAAACAATTCAACAAATTCCATGCTTTTTAATCAAATCTATAGTTCTTCATAATTTTCGGTAAAAATCGAAATCGTAAGGATGAAATTTTTTATAATGAGATTGATAGAATTTTAGTAATATAAGCTTAAGCATAAAAAAAAGTAAAAATAAAGAACAGTGTAACATTTGTGCAAAAGCAAATTTTTAAACGTTTTTAACATTTCCATGAAAAATCGATGGCAGAAAATTGGAAGGCTTTGTCGTAAAAATTTAAAAACATATTGTTTATCAAAATATTACGAATCTTCGTATCAAATATTTTTTCATCCATTTATTTATAATTTTAATATGTAAATAATAAGTCGGAGAATTTATATTTAAAATGAATACAAAAAATCCTATTCTCAGAAGCAGGAATCTCATATTCACCAAGAATTACAAGTTCTGTTAGGGAATTAAAATTTTCTCGTTCACAAATTTCCGAAAATTTCAATTTTCCGATAACCAAAATTTCTAGAACCCTAACTTGCCAACACGTGCCATTTGTATATGTTGAAAACCAATCTAATATCCAGATTTGAAATACTCGAAATCTCAACGATACTAGCTATTAACAAATTGTTAATCACTGCAGACAAAATCTCAAAAATTTTATCTTTTCTGTATACAAATTTCCTTCTCTTTCGAGTTGAAATCTACTCTCCTTCGCCGCCACTTTTGTGTCTCTTTTAGTGAAACGTTTACATTGAAAAGACGAATATTATCGACCGAGTACAGCTCCGTTGATCTCAATGAGTCTCTGCAGTGTTCCGGTATCTCTGGAATTCGTTTCGATGCGCACCGTATCGCGAGATCTGAATTTCGAAATGTAAATCAAGAAGGTCGTCGCATGAAAGCGGATCTACCGATCGGATAACATTCACGCAAAGACGAATTTAGCCATTTGAAAGGACAGAATAGAGTCGAAGTATAGGAGATAATAGCTGGTGATATAAAACAGCGGTCATTAGGAACTTAAAACCTCCTCTAGGTGACTAGATGTCGCGTGGAGAGCTGCTAGTTCCTTTTCTTTTGGCTTTATCACTTACCTTTCTAATAGTGTAACCAATTTTGTCACTATATTGTAATATTGAATGAAAATGTTGATATTTTGAAAAATTTGACGATTTAAATGACGAAAACTAAATCGTATGAATAAATAGCAAATAAAAGAAATGAATTAACAGATAATATTAATCACGATCATTTTATAATTACTATACTCTTAACTTTTATTACGACTGATGCGAATATCTATACCATTTTTTATCGTTTGAATTTTTTCATTTGTTTCACATTTATTTTCCTAACAATGAAAACAATTTTTCGACTATTATAATTGTATTACTTAATTTAAATTGATTGACAAACGATATTATTTTAAGTATTTTATAGTTATCGTATTAAATACGACGGCTACTTTATAACCTTCGAAAATTTTGACAACAATTTATTCCGATATCGAAGATTGAATTATTTTTAATGCTCTTTCATATATCATTGATTATCAGGCTATTATTTTGTTAATAAATTACGTCATTCCATATTAAAAATTGATAGCTGACGTTGTTATGAACGCACATAATAAAAAGGAATCAATTTTTCGTATTACGATCGTATATCACGCGTTTTGTTCAATTGAGATAAAAGAAAGGTGAGCTTCTACTTTGATAAATTGTCTTATTGTATTTTCAATTGTAGATGTCCAATGCAGGCCACGGTATTCCGGTAATTCCCGTGAGAATTTCTATCGACATTAAAACCCACTGGCTGACAGAAATCAATCATTCACTTCATAAAATCCCACCCGAAATTCCATGAACGTCCCATCAATTAACCGAATGATTAAGCGTCACCAGGTGTTGTCATCTGAGAACGTTGATCAATTTTATTCCGCTAACACAGTCAACATTTTCTACTAAACAAAATTTAATTTAGCTCTCCACTCAGCATATTTATTTTCTCAAAATTAAAAAGCACCTTTTGCTTGTTTTACTTTTTTTATTTAATCGTATGATCTTTATGGATCGGATTAATTTTTTCAATTTCAACTATTTTTCTAATTATTATCCTTCATTTAATCGTTATTTTAATTGGGACAATTTAATTGCGTAAAATAGAGGTAAAACCAAAATGGGCAGAATCAAATGTGTGCCCTAACCTCCTTAACTAGTTTCAGAAAATTGAGGTTAGTTAAACTCGACAGATTAAAAAAATTAATTAATTACGAATAGCGTCTATTTGAACGGTAGAAAATGGGAAAATAATAAATTCGTGCAAAGTTTGAAAATCTAGGAAATGTTGAAGAAATGTAACGATCGAAGATTTATCATTCTTAACCTCAAAATGTTTAAGAGTTTCTTGAAAATGAATAATAGGTACTTGCGTTAAGAACGTATATGATTTTTCATTTCTAACCTTAAAATGTTAAACGTTAAGAATTGTCTGAAAATAACCGAAATTTATTTATACATCAAAAATAATGTACCGGAGAATTTTACAAAGCTCGGGTAACGAGAGATAATTAAAGAAACGTAACATAATATACGACCAGAACTTACTGAATAGCGCGAAAATGATAGGTAATTTTCCTTTCTCATTCCCTCTTGTATACAAACGTATATTTTAACGTTTTCTCCGCGATAAAAATTCGTTGAAACTAAACTTTCCACTCTTGCGAGAGAAGCGAAATGCCTCAGGTGTTTAAAATTCATCAGAATTTTTCACAAATTTCCCCTTTGATGCGCGGTAATGATTTGAAAACTCGGCTTAATTTGATGTCCTTAATTGCGACGCATGAAAAGTTCTATATATGTATATGTTTCCTAGAAATAACGCTGTCTGTTTCTGTGTTTAGTCAGGCTAGGAACTGTTGAGCTTTTTCGTCGTTCCAGACCAGTGCATATTCCACGAGCGCATTAGGGCGAGAGCTTTCTTGACGAGGAAAAACAACCTTTTCTAAAACGGTTTCTACCTCTGTTGTACTCCGTCTCCTCTTCATTCGTAACCCTCTTTATTCTTTTGTTTTTTTGGGTTAAACGTGCCTGGACTGTTAATGACGCTTAGCAGACGCTGCAACGCTCTAGGGAATTTTTCAGTGGGAAAGTTACTAGATATATGTACAAGCCTAGGATTCACTAAATTTAGAATACTCTGTTACAGGGTTTCGTCGCTGTACTAAAAATCTTCTTCTTCAAAACTTTGGTGAACTTGTCGAAAGACCAATCCCTCGTCAATTTCGATGATTTTCGAATTTCGCAAAAAGTTACCGCTACTGTCCACACTGAATCCTGCCCATATATGTGTGCATGTGTGACTCAGTCTTGCATCGACCTTCGATCTCTTTCCCTTTGGACCGTACTTTACGAATCCAAATAAACAGTACAGTGAAAAAATGTAGGAAAATTGTAAAAATGGAGAAATTCCAATTTAACGAAAATATTTAACAAAAGTAGACGTTACCTTTATCAAATAATTACCAAGAGTCGTTCGATAAATTAACTAAAGGGTAATATCGTTCAGTCTTATTTTAAGGGAAAATTATCTAAGAAAAAGGCACTGAACGAAGAACTTATTTCAGGGGAAATTTATCGAATGAAAGGTCGCTAGAGGAGAGGCTAGTTTATCTCTTTTATTGCAAAATTATGCATAAAGGAATGTAAGATACGTACGACCTCGAATTAAAATACGACGAGGAAGTCAAATGTAAAATTGTAATGAGATCACCGTAAACGGACCCTTTTATGAAACGGTAAATACGATTTCAAATTGATTTGTACAAACGTCAAGGCGGTTCGTTTGAATTGCAATTTTTATGCGACAAGGCAATGTGTATCGTTTTGTTGGAATTTAATGGACCTGGGAAATCCAAACAAGGGGATATACTGTATGATCATAAATGGAATCGCAGTTATGGACGAGTTGGAACAGTCGCGACTGAATGGAAGATCCCTTTGAATTGGATAGTTTCGTTTAATGAAGTTTATTCAACGATACTTTTATATATATCATGCGACTGTAATTCGGAAAATATAACAAATAAAATAATGGATTAGAGAAACGAAAATATTGGGTTAACACCTAATGACAAAATCCGCTATCATTTAGTTGCCAAGCCAATATACAGTTGAAAAGCAACTCGTAGAATTGTTCTGTTATCATATTTCTGGCGAGCCATTTTAAACGTTAAACAAGAAATTGGGAAATTTCAAGCTTCGCAGAAATTTCCAAAGTAATTCGATAACAATTACCAAAGAATTTAAGGAACGAAGGTCTGTAGATACGATACGTAAGCTAAACGGCGATTAAATCATATTGCTAGGCAGATGTTGCTGATAAGCACATCAAAGATAAGGCGGTCTATCTTTGATGTGCTGTTCCTGCTAAAATTCTGCATCAAACTAGCAGGAAATTCCACGTTGGCAAATTGGCCGTAGAATGCAGCGGTTATACGCCAATTCCTTCATCCGACAGACGACACGATATTATGGCTATGCCACGAGAATCCTCGAGAGTACAATTTAATAAGAACCACTGTAATAGGACAATTTCTTCCACGGGAAGGAAATCACGGCAATTTTCTTCCTTCTTTTCCCTTCTCTATTGTGTCTTCTTATATTATTCCGACCGCAGTGTGAGTTTCAGGCTTCTGGGTAATTTCAAATTCGAGTAACACTGTCGTCGTCGTCGTCGTGAGTTTCTTAACACTTAGCCAACCGAACAGGAAGGTCTCCCCTCTGCGAGGAACATCGCTGCGTGACCGAACGCGGAGATCTTCCTTTTTGACTTTAGTAACGCATTTTCTTTTTTGTTGTTGTTATTATTAGTAATTGTTTATCTGGAACTGTCGCCAATTAATTGCGCCACTTTTTCTGCTTTTATGAAGTACAGTGTATAATGAAATACAGCAATTTGTTGGTGTTAAAATTCATTCGAAAGTTACACTATCGGTAAACTGTAAAAAAGCACACTATAAACAAATATTAAAATGCATTATGAATTTTTAATTTCACCTTCAAGTCGTGTCATTTATTTTTAGTAATCTTTCGTGTTTTTGATTTTACCTGCAACTTTTTATACTTTTAATTTGATGTTTCGTATAAACAATATGTGAAAATATAATTCACCACTTAAATAATCTTCTAGTCGCTTTCTTCGCTACACGTAAACGCAACTTAGTCAGGTTCGTCTCGCCGACAGTAAAAGAAGAAATGTTTTACTTTGTTCCAGTTGAGGTTATATTTCTTATATGGGGAATCAGGCTGTGCATCGTGGTGAGAAGAACACCGTCAGAGTTCAACGAGAGTCGATTCATCTCGATGGCAATTTACAACGAATTTATACTGTCAGTCTTCCTAAACGTATCTATGTAAGTACATGAACATTGATAATAATACAGAACACACGTTAGGGACTTCCATTTACCGTTTTTTTTTTCGCGTTTATTCGCGTGAACGTCTAAAAACACTAATTTCCTTGAAACTAAACAAACATTCCTTTTTACTTACTTTAGACTTCATAAATCCCCGTGAAAAATATTGCACGTTCAGGGCGTTTAAAAAACAAGAAGGAAAAAGAAATAAAATAGAATTTAACGATGCTCCTCTTTTGATGATATTATGAGAGAGGAAATCCTTTGTTTAAAAATTCTTTTCCATGGGTACAGCGTATTCCACCAATTTATCTGAAAAGTCAACAGAATACATTCAAAAGCTCGTGCTGTACCGTAGTTGAAAGCGACAGGTTAAAAGTGTACTCAGAGATCCGTGGTTAACGCTAAGTCTAACAAACGACTACAGGATTCTTTGCTGTGCTGAAAAAACCGTGCGATTGTGCGAGGCGAAACGGTGTCATTGTGAGCAACTCAGGCCATGAGAATTATTTGCCTCCGTATATCCCCTTTGTACTTAACCTCAAAACAAGAACGCCAAAATGTTACTATATAGGAATGAAATCTCTCCTAGTAATTCTGGGTATTATTTAAATAATATGCCTGACAAATTGTTAATTTCCACTAGTTGTTCTTCAATCATACAACAATATTAATATTATTTATTTTATAATCGTTAAACAGTTAATTATGTTATACCGTTGTTTTACAATTATTTGTATGCAACATCGAAATAAACTAAAAGAAACTTATATACTCGCAAACGTTCATAATTAACAAAAGAATAATGTTTACCGAAATTGTTGAAAATGACAAGGTGAGTTCGTGCTCGCCATCCATATGCAGATGCGTTAGTTATAAGAAATAGTAACTAGGAGATAATCCTAGTTACAATCGATAGATTTAATCGATGCGTTTTTTGTTTTTATCCCTAGTTTTATACCAATAAAAGGTTTCGTTTTTGCTCAGAACGGTGTGATAGATTTATCTATTCAATAAAATAATAACTATCGTGATCCTACCTCTGAGTATAGAAATAACAACGGAGATATATGCGAAATACGATTTTTGAGATTCTCTTGTCTATTATCTTACTCGGAAATTTCAATCAAAGTGGCAATCGTTTGTTTCGTTTTAATAGAAATCGTTCGTTTCGAATGAGACATTAAAATACATTTCTTAAATATGGAATACAGTGCAAGTATGTAAATACACCATACAGTACCATTACGTTTTCCAACTAATTTTTACACGCATATTTTCGCGAAATTTTAACGCAATCGTGCCTTTATATTTACATATATGAAAAACCCGCCACGCGTAATCCAAATAATTTTCCATCAAACCGGTTGATGGCTGGCGGTGTGAATGGATAGGCAGAGGCACGCCATCGCGCAACATTGAATTTAATACGCCGAACGAATCCGTGAAACCCTGCAAATATTGGGCCGTCCGCGAATCGTTAATTTTAATAATGCATTCCACTGATACTCGGTCGTGTTCAACACGAACTAGAGCAGAACACCGGAAACTATTATGCTTCGTGCAACTGCACGTGTTCTGCATTAATAATGTTACCGGAGAAGCTTCTCACTGACGGTCTTCTTAAAATCGTATCGAATCAATCTGAATATTTCACTTATCGTAATGTCTTCTTCAATTTTCAACCGCTATTTGTTTTTCCCTATCTTACTATATGTTCAGTAATTTTTATCGGTAAATGGTGGCATTACTTATCTAGTAACTTTTCGTATCGAAAGAATCGCCATTTTTCTTTTTCTCTGCTCTCTACTGCAGTTTAGCTGAGAATTGAGCAAATCTGCGTACACATTGCGAATCTCGTCTTATTTTAAGGCATAGAATTTCCTTAGCACCGTTTTCACCGCGAATCACGGACGACCATCTTATATAACGATAGTAATAGGGTGATCGAAATCTAAAAGTAACTTCTGGTAAAGATCCAAGCTCTGTTTATCAATCTACTAATTCTATCGTTATCTGCTTATTGCTTAGGCCCCTAATTCTATTGAAAATATGATTAAGACGATCAATTAAGGTTGGCCTCGGACTTCTGAATAATCTACACTGGCATCTACACGCATACAGTATTTCCTTATTTGGCTAGGTGCATGAATATAAAATATTAACAAGGGAATTCCAACTAATGGAGGTGATACCTTCAGTCAATTAATCATACTATCCTTCCTGTCCTCTCTAAATTGAGCTTAGATTATGAGGTTAAACTACAGAATCTAATCTGTGAGATCAAAGAGAAGTTCAAGTTGGTAAGTGAAAATGGCCACTTTAATATCCGCTCCATGGTGGCGCCATCTGAGAAGGTAGTGACTACTAATATTTAGAAAGCAATTTTTAGAGAGGTCTAGGCTGGTTTATTGCTTTTCAACGAGTTGCTTGCCGCAATATACGGAAGCTGGCTGCAACTCTTATTGTTATTATCTGACAGTTTACCGACCGCCATACGGGTTTTCTCTGGCGAAGAACCGGAGTTTACCTTTCTCCTTCCAAAAGTGTGCGCGATGTACCAATTTCTCCAACTACTTGCGGTTCGTTAAACTACACTTTCTACTCGCGGTTATATTACTTTGGCGAAGCTTTGCTCCGAGTTTACAGCTTCGCGTGTCTTGCCATAATTATGCGCATAATTAAGAACTAAACGAAAACACCTCAAATGGCAGAAGCGTCTATACTTCGTCGGCATTTTCGCAGGGAAAACGCTTTCAAGCAAGGGACAAAAGCTATTTTACAAAGCCAGAATAGTTAAGATAGGTCAAAAAAGACAAGCTAAATTAAGGTTAGGTCGCTAATGAGATTTTTTTATACGTCTGCTTGTTCGTTAAAACAGCTTCGAATATAACGACGAAATGGAATTGAGATTTTTAGGTTTGTTCAGATTACCGTGACTGTCTGGAGAGAATTCGATATGTTTAGTGGAATTTTTCAATTATTCAGTGGTTCCACGGTCGCTTGGATATTTCTGCTATTCGCACGATTATTTATAGTACAATTTATGGTACTACATCTATTTAGAAGGTTGGCATTATCGATATGAAAAATGTCTAGATAAATAAAGGTACTGGAATTAACTGCGATACAACTGCAGTCCTACGAACATCTAAGCAACATAAATCAAGATTTAATAGGATTTTATAACCAAAGAGGAAAAAGTCACTAGCACTTAATAAAAAGACACGATCGTTCTTTTAAAGGGCACAATCTCTCTGGTTGCAGGTTGTTCATGCAGTCGCCAGCCAATCCGGATTTACTCTACTTAATATTTTTCTGTCACACCCAGTTAACGGTGACGCCGCTGCTGTGCTTGATATTCGGCAGCAAGGTAAGACTAAATCGATTCTTGTATTTTCAACGCGTTCATGCGGTCCGCGCGCCTGACAAATGGCGCCGGCTGGATCGCGAATTCTAAAGGCTGCGACCAACCCATTGAAATTTATTTATCTCACGGCGTGCATATTGATCATTTGAAAGCAACGGCTGGCGTTCGTGGAACTTGTAAAATAGTTGTGTACGAACAGCCGTGGTCTAATTTATTTCCGGCCGTGTGGTCGGGATGAAAAATCGCGCCCCTTTTTGGCCCACCCCTTTTCCCGCGCTTAAATTGAAAGTTGTTCGACGTCGAAACTTGAATATAAAACACCTCATTTCTTTCCAATTCGATAACTCTGCCAGACCAATCCTATCAAATTCATCGTGTACCAAAATAATAATCTTAAATTATACACATACGTAGAATAATTTAAAAAATTGTTTACTTCATTTGTATCACAAGGGGATGAATAGAGATGTTTGTTCCTAGCGATGTTTAGTGACAATTGGAATTATAAAATAAGATTTGAAAATTGGTGTAACTAGCCAATGATTCAAAAAGATTTTACGTTACTATGATGAGTATTACCAATGATATGATAGAAGAAAAATAGGGAATATTCATTTTATTTTGTTGGTAACAATTGAAATTCTAGAACTGCAAAGTTGCAGAACGTTGCAAGTAAATATATGTACATATGAAATGAAGTTTAAGAGGTTATGTATAAGTAAAAAGTATGCATATGAAACAAAGCGTGGTATAACCAGTTACAAACAAGAAATATCCACTCTCCGGTGGAATAAAGCAACGAATGTCATTGTTCTTTCTGCTTCCACTATTTCATATTCGTTTAGAATAATAAAGCTTCGTGCACAACATACGAGCAGGAAACTAAATGTCTGAATTAGTATGAACAAAAATAACTGGATATACGTCGTTTTGAAAAAAAAAATCGTTTCTGAACCTGCCCCAGTGTTACACATTGAAAAAGAAGAAATTTAAATAACGTCAAATCATTCGTTTCCGTCCTAATTAAGAAAATGTTTTACTGGTTCATTAAAATACTAAAATCTGATTTTCTAACTAGAATACTTTAATGATATTCCTTGTTTTTACATGCTAGATTATACGATAGAGTTGAGTATCCCAGAGAAAAATTTCACATCCATGGTACTTCTTGCTCGTTAGAGGTTATGTACCTCGTTCGTTTCTTATTAATCGTGTCAGCGGAACTAATTAGCCGAGTAACGAACGACAGTATTCCTTGTGCCGGGTACGACGATTGTAAACCTGAGGAAATACCTTAACACAGGATAAAAGCACGGTTTCTCATCGTTCCCTTTCTTCCCTTTTAACCTAATATTCTTGGCCGCCATTGATTCGACGGATGAATGCGTTAGAGACAAGACTATGGAGTTATACAACATCGAGAGTACGTCCAGGCAAATTCAATATTCATGTCGTTTAGCGACATTCCCGTCCATAGTGTAGTCCTTCGGTGTTCGTACAACGTACCTGTCTGTACTTCCATTACAGTGAGCGCCATTTTATTCAACCAGCGAGCAGTAGATAAATAAAAATGAACGCTTTATTCAAGAATGTTTTTACATCTTGATTTACCATTCTTTGTTAATTTAAGTGCAGATTTCGAAAGGCAACTGTTCCGGTATTCTTTCAAATATTAATTCGACTTAACCTCACTACGTTATTACTGTTGCAAAAAGGAAGCTACTTCAGTGGCATAGATTAGAAACGCTGTATTAAACGGAAATCCACTAGAAACTAGTTAAAGAGAGAGATAACACTCAGTTTCGTAATCCTACTGCTTTTAATGGATGTCTCTAGAATGTCACTAGATAATTCAAAGTAAATTACTAGATTACATGCACATTTTACTCTGTGATTTTCTTTCAGCTGTGAAAGAGACTCGAGAAAGGAAATTACACTAATAGAAAGCAGATTAGAAATCGTGTTAATTTGAACGTTGATCGAAACTAACCTCGCTAAGATTGTTAAGAATAAATGAGAATAACTGGTAAGAATAAATAAGAAATTTGTAAAACCATTGTAAAGTTAATTAAGTCGAGTGAAATTGTATTATTTATTTGTAAACGTATATTAAAGCTTCGCTTTCGTTCGGAAAAGCTATACGAAATTCTAACGCATTATTCCCACCATAAAGAGACTCGTTTTCCCATAAAGATACGTGCTCCTCTATAGAGTGGTCGTATTAGACTCGTCGTCCATCCAAGATCACGCCACTATAGACGAAAATTTCACCATCCGGGAGAATAAAAATTTCTCAAAAAAGAAAAAGAAGGTCGAAGCGTGGAAACATTGAAACTTGCCTGTTTTAATGTAGGTCTACATGGTGTTCCGCAGCGGAGGCAAGGAAGACTCGAAACACTCCGGGGCCACAGGTAAATTTCTGGGGAAAAGCAGTCGCCCGACGGGTACTAGCAACCAGACAAACTCCATATCCCTTCAGCATGGAAACTTCACAGACGAAAGCGACGGGGCGACGGTAAGAGCACTTTGATCTATCCAATCCCACAACTTTCGTCCCTGGTTTTAGACCCTTTTCTGAGGATCAGAAGTGCCCAGATTTCGCTGCGAATCATATGGATAATATATTGCTCTAGGTGGAAACAATATAGTAGCGTTTTAAACTTTGTAATGTCGTGCAGAAATTTTCCAAATTTTGAGGCTACATCGAAAAATGTAAGTTGAGATATTTTTGAGGTTATGAAGACCTCGAGCTAAATAAAAATAAAATAAAATAGGGCATCTGTTTTAAACACTTAAGTTAAAAAGATAAAATGATTGGTTGTTGCATAATATTTAAAGCAATTGATCAACAGCTGAGACTGAATATTCTTTGTCGAAAAATGTTCACTCTCTTACACATGTCACGTGTCAAGTCGATTGAGCGTGAAACATGAGACTGTGAAATAGAAGAGGGAGACACGTGTGCTGTCCCACAATTTCGACGGATTGTGCACCGAGGGGAGCACCAGGGTCTGATTTAAATTCCCACGGCGACTCGAACCAGCGACGAAATATGTCTTTAATGGCACGTTCGCGTGATTCTGTGCATGTATGTTTCCTTAGATATCAGCTGCTCTTTTCTTTCCTCTAGTTCGTTCCACGTTACATAAATTCTCGTCGGAGTTTCGTGACTGGGTAACGGTAATTTTGTCACAATACTATACAGGGCAATGCAAAAATGTGGCTTATAATTTATTCAAAAGTAAATCGGCTAAATAAATAGTTATACGTTTTCTAAAAATTACTAGCCAATCGTGAAAATGTCTAAATGGAAAAATTAGTCGCTCTTTTGATACAATTATAACATACTGAAGTTTAGTATGATACAATTACATAATTACAATATGATTATAATATCTGGGACATATAATATGAAAATTGTGATGGATTGTTTTCGGTGTGTTGGCAACACTGCATCGTGGCTGACACAGCCTGAGTCAATACGAAGCGATTATTAATCAATTAATCAAAATTCCATATTGAAACGCGTCAGCTTTCTACGTCGCTCGTTGATAACAAATATTTTCATAATTATAATATTCAACAGATCGTCCATAATCGAGATGAACGTACAATGTACAATTTGTTTGTCATTTACGATTCCGTGAGCTGTTAATTTTGTCCATAATCGAGTGAAATCACGTGGCCTCTAAATCCACCAAGCCACACCATTAACGTCGACCATTCCCGCCTACTGATCGAAGCACAGGATTTCGCAAAAGTGCTGATTCTAACCGAAAAGAGGGACAGGTAGGGGGAAAAAATGGCTACGTGACCTAACCTAACCTAAAAGAACTCGAAACTCGAACAAAACGTCGCGAAGGCATCAGATGCTGGAGTAACGAGAAAACTTGCTGACAAATGTGTCCTGTTGAAAGGGACGATAAATCTAAGGAACTGTAGACTGCCACGAATATAGGAAAAGTGGTCCATTTAAATGAGGAAAGTATTTCTGCTTGAATTACACTGACCACGTAACCTAACCACATTCGTCAATTTATGCAAGAATAAGAAAAAAAAATGGGAAGATTTTACGAATGAAATATTGGTTGTATTTTTGTGGCAGTTTTATTTTAGAGCTTTGGAGAAATCTAGGATTCTTTCGAGAGTTATTGTTGGTGTTCTATCATTAAGCGTAGGCATACTGGGTTAAGAATAAATTTTCTTCTTAAATTTTATAATTTTCTCTGAATAATGCGGAGGGAAAATACATAGGCCAACTCGGTTCCTTGGAGTCCAAAATGGCGTCCAACAAAAAACATCTCCCTTCCACCGCCAACATTCTAAAGAGTAGTCAACGGAAGTTGACGTCTAATTTCTCATGAATTCTCAACGATGATATCAACGGATAAGACAAAATGGCCCGCACTGAATTCAGTCCTTTAATAAGCTTATAGAGTATTAGGGTGGGTTTACCAGTATAACTTTCATAGTCTCCTTAACCATCTCTTGGAAACTTAATTAGACGGATCTGCTTGTTAAGCGGATTTCCTTTAAGATTGCCCTTTACAGGACTCATGAAATCAAACGATTGTTTTTAATAGTGATCGCTATCAAGGACTTGGATGAGTTTCCTATGAATTATGACAATCTTGTAAAACAAAGCGGAATTGGGATTAGGAAAAGGTCTGTTGAGCACGTGTATTGTGGTCCTGACTCAAAACATAGAATAGTAACTTCACGGTTGAAGCCAAACATTTAAGAAAAGAAAAGTTAGGTTAAGATTCTATTATGTTAGAAAATGTTGTGTTCGAGAAGTCTGTCGAAGTAAAGAATATCTCACTTATAGAATCTTTACATAACCCATTGTTATGTTATTTATACAGAGTTTTCAGTGGACCCGTTAAAATGATATAACCCAGAAGAAGACATATGTACATAACCTATATTTGGTTTAGTCAACCTTTTGCATATAAATTGCACACGAAAATATTTTTGCATTATTACTTTTAGATACATAATAAATAAAACATAACCATTTATATATCCACATATGTATAATTCCATATTTGTCCAAATATCCAAGATATCCAAATTTTCAAATTTCTAAATTTAAATTCATGTTATCTTCTCATATGGTTTATAGGAACTTAGATATCATTTATATCTGGCCTGTGTACTTATAATCTTCATATAAGCCATAGAAAACCACGCATCACCTATAAGTGACCCGTGCAAAATTGGAAAAGAATTCGTATATATATATCGAACATAACCTACATAAGAGTACCCAAGGCATGTCGAGTTTATAGTTTTACAGTTAAAGAGAACGTTACTGTGGAAGCGAGATCAGCCAAGTGGAAATCACGACTCGCTGATTTCAGAGAATCTCTGACCCACACCCGGTTACGTTGACCTAGACAGAAGGGATCGCGCGAAAAAGGCCGTTTGCAATGACAAATGTCGTTCTTGGGAACTTTTTCCAAGATTGCTAGGCCTTTGGCAAAAAGCCGAGAAAATTACGTCGACCTGAAAGACACGGTCGGTGAAACGTGGCTGCTTTGACATTTGACTACCTGTCGTTTGACGCGATCGTTGAAGACTCGTTTCGCTGCTTTTATCACAGACGTGCTGGTTTGTCTCGTGTTTCTTGTTACGTTCACAACGCTGTATAAAGAAAGTAAGAAAAAATTTTCGATTGATTTTGTAAGTTTAGAAACGCTTCTCTTTTATTCTTCCTTGCTAAAAAAGGACCCTAGTTCTTTTTGTCTATCAGGAGGGTTCTCAATCTAGGGATTCCTAGATCTTCATCTTCAGAAAAACGTCTCTACTAAAATGTTGGTAATTCTGTATTTGTAAAAAATTCCTAGTTGCTTAATCTGGCAAGAATGTTTTTAGTTCTTTATCCCTAGAAGACAGTTTGTGCATCTTCATTTTTAAAAACTACCTATAATTCCTTGCTAGGAAAAATCCCTATTTATAATATTCGTCTTTGCAAGAGTATTTCTAGTTCTATGTATATTGTACAACATTGTTTAGAAGATATGAGAAGAATATATAGTTCGATTCACAAGGAGAATGTATACATTGCTGGCAAGCAGAAACGTAAAATGCATCGTGCAAACTTCACACTCTGTCTGTTTGCAACGGTAGAACGCTTTAGTGACTTCCTTTGGTCGAAGGGGTGCTGAGGTGAAAGCCTATTGAGCCTGCTACCACTTGATCCTCTATTAATTGCAGCTCCGCTTTCACAGGACCACTAATATGCCGTTATCGAACTCTAGAGCTCGAGGGGATACACTTCCCCTTTCAAACCTTAGTATACACGACACTAAGTCCCTGCTTTTAGCCAGCCTGCATGCTCATTACTGCCAATCTGATACAAGTCTGCCAACTTCTGGTGTATAGATTGGGATAATAAATGTCAAAACAATTCTCTTCTAAACTACAAACAATTATCCAAATATTATAATGTTGAAGTATGTAAATGATTGATTTGTAAAAATATTTAATTTCATATTATTATATATTATTTAAATACCTGTAATGGACTAGTGTGTTTTATTTAAAGTAATTAATATTTTCTGTGATTTCTTGTTGTTTCCTTGTCAGCAGCAGCAGTTCCATCAGAAACCCTGGCAAGCTATTTCTTAATAAACTCTCCATTCAGAAGCTTGATTTCTATTCCCGAGCTCCGTTCCTTTCCTTTGACTTCTTTCAAATAATTTCTTAAGTCTTAAATAATCTTCAGTTCAACCCTCTATTAATTGGAGCACTTTTTTCATAGCCAAGAAGTAAGCAACACCATTAATGAAATACTTAAAAACAGAATAATTATACGGAATAATATATGAAAATGTTTTCTAAAGATATACTTTCAGTTGTCACTGCAGTTCGCTATAGTACACTAAAGTCATATTTGTTTTATATTTGTTTATCATGAGTTTTTAATTTTTAATCGTTAATTTTTATTATATTTTATGGAAACAAAGAAAAATATTTATTCCAATCAAAATACTCTAAGGTATTAATATCTTTATCATATCCTTTGATACACAACAAATATTTTAAATTGTAATCATTGATTACCAATTTCTGTTATAAGAAATGAAGGAACAATCTAAAGTTAAATAAACATTAAATCCCATTTCCAAGACCTTATGATTCCCTAGAGCTAGACGATTTATTTAAGTTGGTATACACCTACCTTGTATACTGATATACCATACATATATACTCACCATAAAGGTAAATACCGATTAATAGGCATAGAACTGTCGAGCACTATTGTGCGAAAAGCCGATTAATAGGCCACCATGTCACGTTAATTACGATATCGACATTGGAGAATCCGATTTAGCTGGTGCAGCTAAACTCGGGAATAATGTCCCTGTGGGCACTCTAAAAGAGAAACAAACAGTCTCCATAAAGTTAGAAATGACGAACGACGAGGCCATTACGGGATGACAAAAACAGAATGTCTAGTATTTCATTTTAATACGCCTGTACATGACAAATAGAGGATTTTAAGCGGCCATTTATTAAAAGATCAAATATCGATGATACACAGCGTGTTTCTGAAATCGTAGTACAACTGGGAAAAGGTAGTTCTTCGTGTAAATGAAAGTTAAAAGTAAAATACAGTAAAATTTGTTTATGTCCTATATCCACATTTAACATCTGATATCCACTATCCTATATCCGTCACGTATACTCCATAACTAATATTCTCAAACTATATGCTTCATCTTACTTTTGACATTTCACTTCTTCGTTCCATATTCCATATTCCTTCTCTCATGTTTTATATCCCACATCCAGTACCTTTAAGAAATACTTTTTATCTTTACTTTCGCAGCACACAATTCACTTTACATATCATATTTCATATTTCCATATCCTTCATCCTTTAACACATTTTCTATGTGCCGTTTCCCATATTTCACGCCACGTATTTATTAAACCACGTCGCACATCCTTGCATGTATATGTATCCTTCTCTGCATTCCATATTTTGTACTTGTCCACGCCAAACTACCATTTTCCCCTAAACCCTATATTTTTCAAATTATATATTCACTACAAAAATCTAGTTTCAAGCAAAAACTACACTTTCCCCACGAAATGTAAAATGGAGCCCACAAACAAAGATCACTATCTCACAAAGTGAAATTTGTTTTCCCACAAAATACAATTCGTTTTCGCACGAGATCCACAAGGACCACTTCCCACAACCGAGATGCGTTGTCAGAATTTCAGCTGTAGTCTAACATGATTGAGGAAACGAATCTCATTTTGTGGGATATGGAATTTCTTTGGTGAGGGGTGTCTATTGCTTGTGGGTTTTGTGGGAAATTTGTGGGCAACGAATTACATTTTGTACGATATCGATTTTCGGCTGTACGAACGCTAACTGTTTGTGGGTATTGCGTGGACCTTGTGGGCAACGAATTTCATTTTGTGGGATAGCGATTTCGTTTGTGGTAAGTGTGGCTTTCCTGTAAGAAATTTGTAGGCCGTATTTTAGATTTTGTGGGAAAAATGTTTTTTATGGTACGTTGTATAAGATTTCTCTTACATCCAAATGGGGAGAGTGAAATTATCGAACTGGGATGTGGAAAGCGGGCTGCCAGATACTGGATATGGGATGCGGAATGTAAGAAATGAAATGGCCACATAGGACTGGGAATATTGGATGTGAGATATTAGTATTGGATTGTGTATATTACATATGGGTATGCATATGAGAAATGCAATAAGGAATGAAGTAATGATATGGGGTAGGGAATGTTGGATATCAGTATTGGTTTACGTATATCAGATATGAAATAAGGAATACAAGATTTAGAAAATGAAATAAGTAACGGTGGTATGGGATAGGTAAATGATAGGTGTGGAATGTTAATATTGGATTGTGGATATGAAAGAAGGAATATGAAATGTAGAGATGTGAGAATAAAAATATTATCTATAGTTCACAGGATGTAAGACACGGAATAAAAAGTCTTTATTGCTGTTAAATGTTTCAGGAGGAATTCCGTCGGTTCATGATTCAGTTAGAAGTTCTAAAGGAAAAAAACGTCCTACTTGGTAATCATCACTTGGTGAACAAACTCGCAGCCATGCAGGAAGCTGCGAATCGCGTTGAAACACAGGTGTCGACCATCCAGGTCATCTCCTGCGGCATGAGACTGAACGATCTTAACGGATCTACGACAATCGCCGAAACGGATGTTGGAGGATCCTTTAAAAGTGACGTCGATCAGAAAGGTAAGAAAATTTTGCTATCAGAAATTGCTACTAATCATCCACTAACACCTGTTACATTACACCATGAGCTGCTATCCACTATGAGCACTAAATAACTGTCATTCCCATCTGACATATCCATTACCAATTATAAATTAATTCCCGAACGAATCAGTGAACCTAGCCTAACGAAACTGTGCCGCGTATCAACCATTAACATTTCTTACATTTCTTACATTATACTATAAGCGAAGGTGACTTTCATTTCCATTTGACATTTCTATTGTCAATTACCAATTCATTTCCAACTCCCTTAACCAATATAACCTCACTGTCGACAAACTATCCACTACACACCGTCAAAAGTCCTCACGTTCTTTATTCACAAAGAAGAATCTGCACATGCATCTCAATCTCATACAAAAGCAACAAATAAACCACGTGACACATGTGCGAACGAACGTGTGCCCAGGTGGAGAGTTTAGGGAGGAAAAGAAGTGTCAGGCCTGCGTGGAGAAAAATGGGATTAGAAGCAAGGACCAGGGTTCTTCCAAGGAGATTGTAGTCCTAGCTTCTGTGGAGACGAAGAAATCAACGGCGACCAACGATGTGGCGGTCTCTACTTCCGGTAAACCGGCTACAGAGGACATTGGAACGGAAACGAAGCACGAGGACAAAGAAAGTGAGGTTAGGGAGCGCGACAAGAGTAAGAGCAAATCCGGCCACGCGAGGACGCACGCTATAGTCATCAATCTGGACGATAAAAGCAGATTCTCTGAAGAAGTCACCGTGTAAAAATGCAACTAAATTTGGCTCTGTGAAAACTGAATTACAGTTTCGAATCAAAGTCTTCTAGTTATTCTAGAATTCACTGTGAAAGGTGAAACTAACTAATCGAGTGACTAGAAACATATGTTCGAGGAAGTGTAAAGCTAGGGAATTTGGTGCTGATTTCTTTTGTTATGACGTAATGGTGACATTTCTTTCATTGATGTTCGATTTCAACTTTCGTGTTCTTTTGTCTGTAATTAATTGTAGATCGAAAGTAAAATGAACGATCTGATTAAGTAACCAGTGTGGTGCCGGCGTGAGAAAAATTCCCTAGAATCGATTCTCATTTTTTAATTTGAGCTGAAATTTTTAAATAAATTTTAGTTCTTCGAGTATTATTATTAAATGTTTCTAGATTAATTTAACTGTGTGATAGGTTTTACTTTTTCCTCTTTTCTTTTTCTCCCTCGATGCTTTAACCGTTCTTTCGAGAAACTTCGAGGCTAACTTTCTTACAGCGGTTCTGTTTGTAAGATTCAACCAAAGACATGCTAATCGGCCCTGGATTCCCCCGTTAGCCTTTATTAAATTTGTTTCTAACAGTGCAGTCTGCAAATGTTTCTTGAAAACTTCTCGTCCCCTTTCCTTTCTTCCTCTTAATTTTTTAATTAGACGCACAAGATAAGGAAATTTCAACTGCAAACGGACCCTTCTCTTCTATAACCCGTTTCTACAGTAATTGACAGAACAATCGTCACTAAACTTCAGCTCGACTCTGTTAAACTTATTTTCATCTTATTTATTCATTTATATTCATTTGTTTTTCTTATATTCTCAAGGTTTATTTAAATTTTTTTAATTTCACTAAACCAGCAAATTTCACTTTCAATTAGTGGTGGATCTGTTTTTCAGTTAAATCGATTTTCATGAAATTTATCTAAAATCTCAAAAATGTTAAAATTTCCATTTCGAACATAAACACTGCCTGCTTTTTCAGATAAAACAAACAGTTACTTTCGGTTGGAATTTTATCTGTTCAACATAAGATATTAGATTAAACGTAGTTTCCTTATTCCGAGTAAATTATTTTCGCTTTAAATTTCGCTAATTTGATTAGAGAAAAGTTTCTCGCACAGTTGTTTTCGAGCGCGGCGATTTTGTACGATTAAATAAAGGTTTAACAAACCTTGCTGTGTAAATATAAGTTAACGAACAGCTAGGCACGAAACATTTTTTCGTGAATGTTTTCATCGTTTTAGTGGTATAAGGAAACTTGTGATATCACGGTGACGAGTCTTATAAATCGAAAAGAAACAGAGAACTATATACGAAAGTTTAATTAGTAAATCGAACTAGTTTAAACAAGTGGATAAACAAAAAATAAATGATAAAATCTCGGTTTTATCAAGAACTTCGAAGCTCTCAACGAGGGAAGAAAGAAGAAAATGGTTAAAGGAACGACAAAATTGTTTTAGGGGAATTCCCTAGATACGACTTTACTTTCCCGCCATTTCCAACGCGAAGCGCGGGAAACGTTCAGTTTTTAAAAGCTTGAAATCATAAATAGTGCTTCTTAGACGTTTACTGTACGAAAGTTCTCGGTTTTATCGGAGATTCTCGATGGAGAAACAATGGAACGAAGTTTTTACAAAGTCTGGAAAAGAACTGAAAGGAATAAGTACGAAGAAACTCGCGTGATTTCTAGAGAATGTACCTTCTTCTTCAAACAGCCATTGATAATCCAATACTGGATAGAAAAAGTTTCATTTCTAAGATTTGGGACACTTTGGGATCGAAGATTATTTGAGCTTTTTGAATGTCTCTCGTTTGAAATTATTTTATTCTTATTTCTGCAAATTTTGTTATCCATTTTTTGTTAGCAATTTTTTATTATTGTTATTATTTACATTATAAAAAATTGTTTATTAAAAATTATTCCTACATTATTTTTATTTCTTAATTTTATTTACCCAGATTTCATTCTATTATTTTTATTTTATAATAATATGAAATACCGGAATACAGAAGATCAGGAATCACAAAGAAACTTAACCTTATCAAATAATTTTTTCTTATTCTATTTTTCCCATGAAGAAAATTTCCAAAATTTTGGTGAAACTCATTCTGAGTGAATGCACACGCATTTCTATCTAGGAACACGTTCGTCAACATTGATCAGTCGAACCTCGCGAGCCAGCTTTCTGTAAATATCGTCGTAGCCGCTTGTCTGAAGTCTTCTGCCATAATATTAAGTCGATTTGTAAATAAAATTACTAAGAAACAAAGGGAATTAATTAAGACAAGTACACGAAACCGTTCGAAGCGTACGAACGATGCATTACGATACCGATTAAAGGTTTGGAAGCATGAAGGTCTTTTTACGCAATTTTTCATTTTATTGTTATTATATAAATTACACGAAATAACGAAGAAAACTGCAAAACTAAAGTTTCAAGAATTACAAATTTACTTCACTAATTTACGTAAAATGGATCAGAAATTTTTTTTCAAATTATTTCCATATTCAGAAATATAAAAGCTTTTATTTATAAAATAAATGTCTCATAATATCATTGACATAACATCTTTCATTTTTAATATACCAAGATTAGCGAAAATTCTCCATAGTAGCCTGAGATAGACAACCTAACCTATTCACGTAAAGAATCGCACTGCTTCCAAACTTGGTGTCGGCTCAACACTCTAGATCAAGGTCGAAGATCTTGGAGCTAAAAAAAAAAACCGAAGAACGATCCGTCGTTCTATTTCTCGTTCTCTTTTTCTCATATCAGCCTGAACAACTTGTAAATACGTTTGTAAATATACGCGCCAAGACGAGTTTGCCATTAGATTAAAAAGACGATCAGTTCCATCGTTAGGAGGTCGCACGTTTTAACTGATCACCAACGTCGTTAGTAATCACGTGATGATGGACATTTTTCATCGCACGACGTTCCCTATGGGCGGGCTGAATCTCGAATCAGAGATGGTGAGGCAGGAGCAGATTTATTGATCCGAGTTCAACAGTTCATGAAAATTGTTTGTTTTCCAACTTCCACCCTTTTGAAGAAAATGACTGAAAGCTTAAAAATTTGTCATCAGTCTGAGGAACTTTTTCCTTCTGTCTTCTTTTGCTGCGTTTTGTTATCAGCAAAAGTTGAATTTGGCGCCATATAGTTATACTTGGCACATGAGAGGTTTCAAAGTCTTGATTTTTATATATAATAGATATAAGTATGTATATTGTTTTTGTTTTTTAATCACCTATATTTATTTATTTGTTTGTTTGTTTATTTATTTATTTATTTATTTATTTATTCTTGGTGTCTTTCTAGTAAATTGCTCTTCATAGATCTAGGAATTTTTTTTTATGAATTGATTATCAGCAAAAGTATAATTTGGTGTCATATAGTTATATTTGACTCGTGAGAGTTTTCATCTTGCTTTATGTTATTAATTTTGTTGTCTAATTCTACAGATTGAAATATAGAAAGTGGCAATTCTACGTGGATTATAGATCATTGAATTATAAATTATTAGACTGCGGATATTTGTGTACTAAAGACAAAATATACTAGCACAATGTTGAAAATCTTTCTTATCACTTTCGTTTAAATTCCCTACGTTGCTAAACACACTTAACCGATTTACGTTAACGTAATTAACGATAAAATTCGTTTAAAATTCGACATACATTTATCAGACGATGTGATGATTTAAATACATTGCATTGCATATAATCTGGCTTCTCGATAACTTCAGCTTTCGATATTTCATTGATACATAATGAAATCGGGATTTCTCTTCAAAGCTACATTTCATATCGACATATATTAATTCTTTTCTCCAACTCTACTCATCGTTAGATCTAAAATTAAAAATTGTTTTCTTAATGTTATCTCTAAAATATCAAATAAGTAATGCTGCCTGTAAACGTAGAAACAAAAATTTAATCTATCGATCCATTAAAATTACCTAGATATTTTACCAAAAACATATTCACCAAAGAACGCTATCAAAATAAAAAAAAATATTGATAAGAAACTTCAACACAAAACGTCTAATTACTTGATAGCGAAACCAATCAATTTCTAATAATACACGATCCTAATAGCTGGAAACGGTAATGCGGTTTATGAATTACACCTGACTTGATACCGTGCATTAATGAAACTCTGATCCTCTGCAGGATAACAGTAATTTAATTGATTCACTATCTTCGTGCACTATACATTAATTTGCTCTAGCCATATCGATTAGAAATCATTCTAATTCATTCGTCATTCAATCGACGTTCATTCGAACAATAATTTATAATTCACAACTTAATATAGTACAAAGTCGTATTTTCAATCTATATATATTATTATATTACATTTCATTTTTATTTTATTCCTTTATATTATTTTTATAATTAAATATATTATAAATGCTATATTATTTTTATTTTTTTCTGTACATATTATATATTAAATTATTTCTTGAATTGGAACAACAATTAACTCGTTGCAAGCTGTTACTCGGATTTGTAAATTCTTTTGACCGTGGCGATTAATCGTCGCGGCAAGTAAACTACCTAGAGAATGATCTAGGGACTTTTGCGGGCCGCACGTAGTCGTCCCACGCGAGAAGATGATTGATCGACGCCATGACAGTGGGTTATCGGGTAATCGTTGATCACATTCGTCTGGCCACTTCGACATGACCGTTCATTAATCCAAAGTTAACACGAAACTCTACTTACCACATAAACGTTTTAATTATGCATATCGGTCCATGATTTTGGTCCTTGGGGAGATAAAGAGCTCGAGTCGAGGTTATGTTACACCAATGCTATGCTTTCACTACGAAGCTCTCACTTCTAAAAGGAGTTTGAATTATTATTTAATTATCATGATCTAGTGGAACAATTAAGAAAAATGTGAAATTTTATGATGGTCACTCAGCCCATAACGAAAAATTAAAAAGAAAAAGAAAATTGAAAATTAATTCAATTATGCAAAAAATTTTCATAGATAAAATAGTTATATTGTTAATAAAATTATTGGTATATCAGAGAAGCTAGATGTTCATGATAATGGCAACAATGTGGACGTTGGAATTAAGGTTAATGCATCGAAATAGAATAAATTTTTAAGATTAGAATCCTGGTAGATTCTTGATATTGATGGTGCAATTTCTAGACGGGAAGCGTATCGTTTAAAGAGATTGGGAATAAATATTTTAGACTTCCTGGCATTTTTTATTCTCGGGATAAATTTAACTCTGCAGAGGTCCTAAAAATTCTTATTGTCTTGTGATCTATATAAAAGATACAATCATTGAAAGCTTCTATTGTAAATGGTAACTTTAATGAAAAGGATAAAACTGTTAGATATATGAAAAATATTTAATACAAGTAATGCTTAGTATACCAAAATGGAATCATATTTTACACAGAGTAAGGAAAAAATAATACGGAAAAAGAATAAAAATTAAATTAAAATGATCTTTCTGTTTATTTAAAAATATTTATAAAATGTTACATGCATCTTTTAGATCACTCGGGATCTCTGCAGACCTACCAACTGTAAGAATTTGTAATGTTCAAGAATTGGAAATTTATTATCGAAGGGACTTTGGTATTAGAAACGAAAGACTTTTATTTGGTACAGAATTCAGTCCGTTTCCTTGGCGATATTGGATTTAAATGGCAAGGGATTCTGATCGAAGGATTGCTCGAATTCCTAAATCTAAATCCCCTTAACCTTCTGTTCGTAAAATCGCATAAAACTCCATATCTTGTTTCTGTTATTCTTAAACAAACTTTACGTCGTTTTAAAGACAATTGCCTTTTTCTTCTTAGAAAAATATTATTCAAACGATGAAGAAAATATTTTCATGGATATTTCACCATAATCGTAAAGATATAATTTCAAAATATGATTTTAGGTTATAAAAAAAAAACTACGAAAAAGGATAATATTATTTAAACAAAAGAATTACGGTTTTTATTTTATAGTTTAATCCGATATGAAAATTTCTCGCGTTACAATCTTTTTTGCCAATTGTCGATGAACGGCAACCGTTATTAGACATTTTCTTGATTTACAGCCGGCCGCCATTTTTATCAGCCCATAAAGAGGCAAAATGGCGATGTTCCTTTTCTCCACATTCTTGTACCCTCCGATATCAACAAGCCTTTAAAACCTTCCGTTACATTTACCTTGAATTGCTGTCATTTGGCTGCAGGCGATCCACAAAAATTTAGGTTATGTTACTTCATTTTCGCACCTTTCAGCTTTACGTTAGAAGAATCAACAACAGAATTTGTTCTGTATCTGTTACTTTATTGTAAAAGAAAGAAACCAAATCACGCAATATTACCAATCACTACGGGAAAATTCGTAACTTAGGCAAAGTGGGTAATTTTTCAATATTCGGTCATTGGAAACATGGGGTATCGAATATTGTGGCGGGAGGCAGGGTGAAATCCCGATAATCGAGTCTGACGCTCTACTGGGTGACCGATTTGGAAGGGGAAAGATGGCAATTTCCGGTGAAACAGTTTCGATGAAAACTGTCTATAAGAAACTCCCATCGATACCGGCCGAAAACTCCAGCTATTCTTCTCCCAAAGGACGCGAAGGGATCATGTTACTTCTATAATAATGAGAAACACCGTAGATATAACGAGTATCAGCAATATCGCTTTCTTGATTAAATCAGCGCAGCATGGTATTAAAAACGAGTTGTTCGAAGGGAGAGAGAAAAAACGAACATAACCTCTGTACATAATTAATAAAGGATCGAGTCATGAAGGAAACCTGCGTTGTGTCGTGCTCTGCTTCTCTTTATCATAATTCTGTCGTATAATTTAAGTTTTCGGTATTGGTATTTTTTAAACATTTTGTTTTAGGACATGTACCGTTTCCATATCTTTTCACGTTTTTCACATTTTTATGAAAGGTTATGATTACGGTTAATAACGTACAGACGTAAAATAGACCTGTGGTAGATGTAGGTTAAGTTTGGATAAGATTTTGTTAACGATTTTTTTAGCAGAACAGACATAAACTAATGCAAATCTAAATTATGTTTGAGATAAGTTTGATTAATGTATTTTGAACAGAGTAGATGTAAGCTAAATCTTTGTTAAACCTAGATATTACATTTAGGTTAGGTTCAAATCAGATTTGGCTTAGATTTGGATCTAGCTTGATTAACAGCCTTTGAACAGGGTGTAGGTAGGAAAATGACATTTGTACTAAATCTACATAGGTTTGGATTTGATTTAAGGTTCTGTTGAATCCAGATTAGATACTAATACAATTTCAATAAACCTTCTGATTTAGCTCATATCTGAAACTAATCCAAGCCTAATCCTATAGCTTACATTAGTCATTAAATGAATGTAGGTTAACTGGTTCATCGTAGTTGTAACATAACCTACATCTAAAATGAACATCGACACGTCGATTTTAATTTACCTTCGTAATATCTAATTTCTTCGATCGAATCATATTGCAAGGAAAGAAATACCAGTCGAGTTCCGCTCTGCTTCTTGAATTTCAACATAAGGAACATTACAGAAGACAAATAAACGTATATCGTACGTCACATTTATTTTCCTTAAAAATTCACTAGCAACACTAGCACTTTTGTCTGCCGTATATTGGCACGACACACCGCGGGTAATTTGAATCGTCTATTGAAGGAGAGAAAGTAAAGGATTCGTCATGTTAATTCACTTTGCCAAATTCGATGCTCGTACGTTGCTGTAATTATGGAAAATTGTTAAAATCAGTGGCTCTAACGAATATTCAAGCTAACAAAGTTTCTCGTCACGAAATCACGCAAAAATTCTCAAAAATCTATAAATACTCCACGACTATTTAATTAAATTATATAATAATAGCTTATGATTGCAGATAACAAATATTATTTATCGCTTAAACTTTCCAATTATATCAAACAAAATGTATCAACGTGAAAATGATAAACAACAATTGGAGAAGTTTCTCAAAGCAAAATTCTAATATTCCTTAGAGTCACAAAAGACGCGAAAGAAAGCGAACGATAACCAACGATGGGAATTCAACGTGTTCCAGGTACGGAGTAACGTAAATTACAAATTATTAAACAACTTTTAAGCTACGTCGCAAATGTTTCAAATTGCTGCGAGTTTCCTACGTTCCTCGAAGCTATTTCGAAGCCAGAGAAATTCCACCATTCTGCAACTGCTCTTTATTCTGCCCAGAATTAAGATTCTACTTAATCCCACTTAATTCTTTAGTCCTGCCTCGATTTTCTCTCGCAGCAAAAGTGAAACGAGAAAAAGAATAGGTTGGACTATTTGTTCATTCGTATACTGTTTTCGCAAGATTCTATGAGTTGTCGTGCTTTTTCCTTCGCAGTTGTGTCGAGCTTGTTCATCCCGATCCGACGATAGTTCGAGAAAGTTTCTCCAGCTCGAAAAACTTGGCAAACTTTTCTGGCCCCGACGGAGAAGACGCTCGAAACGCTCGAGGAACGAATTTAGTCGATAAAATCACACGTTCTATTCTCATCGTTGCACGGATCGTTTGCAAGCTTGAAAAGACGAGCTGATAAATAAGTCTATACACGCTGTGATTCATAAGTTTCTGGACATCTAGTTACTTTTCTTGATGAAATGAAATTTAATTGAAATGTTATACGAGTATACCGAGGATTTTTATGCAAATTTACATTTTTATCAACGCAAGTAAAGGAAATGGAATTAAATTAGAGATTACAAATTATAAAATATACCATGCTTTGGATATTTTATATAGCTGTGCATATTATATGCACTCTGTGCACTTTTACATGTTCAAATTTTTCATAAATGCATAAAAATCTATCACAAGTATTCCAGCTTTTGCAAACTGTAGAACAATTTTAACTAAAGTAAACCTAGAAATTTCTTGACATGAAATTTTCTGAAAATTAAAGACAACAGAATTTAAGAAAGGAAATTCACTACAAAATGAGATGTTGCGTTATTACGAAGGAACTATAAGTGTCCAGTGACTTATGAAGGTAGTGTACATATATATAAATATAAATATATATATGTTGTTATTATTCGATTGATCATCGAGTAATTTCGAATGTATAAGTTCCATTCCTAGGGTAAAAACACTGGTTTTAAGGAGATCGATTTCATGTGACACTCCTCTTGTCTGTAACTGGACGTGCCTTGCCATGGGCAAGTGTTTCAGCAAATAAATAAATAAATGAATAAATGAAATATGGAAATACGCTTCAATTTCGTGTACGTTTCATTATTTAAAAAAAATAGCTTGTATGCTTCTCTTTAGGTTAGATTTTCAAACTAGGGACTTTTAGTTGATCAAATTGATGCAAACTAATATCACGCATCTTTTGTGTCAGAAATATATCAACATTTTCTTTCTGAAATTATTAGTTCGTTAGCATTTTTAAAGAGAATTTCTGTTGTGAATTTTATAATATTATTTTGATGCAATATCATTATTAAAATTTTGTAATTCTATATCGTAGTTAATGGAATACTTGCATCCTTTAATATTTATTAACTGATATTCATCAATATTTATTAAATTTTCATTTTATTATTACTCTGCTACTAATATCGAATGTTTCGTCTAGTAAAGTGTTAAAATACTTCCTCTCTTTTCAAGCTTTTTCAAACCTTTTTCATCCTCTAAACGAATTAATGCTACATAACCTCAAAAATAATTCAGAAAACCAGACGCGAATATTTTCCTTCTCCTTCTTCGTTCCTAAGTGTTAATTTAAGTATTAAATATTAATTATTAATCTCATTCAGTTTCCCTTGAATGCTAAACAACGTTATTAAGCCTCAAATCTAATGGCAATAGCAACCAACATGCGAATTATCTGTATATCCTGATTAATATCGCGTTTAGCTTATCGACGCGCATCATGTCACCATTACAGGTCGCATTAAAATTGATTATGCAAACTGGGGATGTGTTTCCCCGGACGATTCAATAAACAGGAGGATCTACACGTTATTACTACGACAGGAGACTGGCTGCAGAGGATGTTTTACAGTCGTCCACTTTGATGATCATCGACATTCGACCGATTGATTGGTTAATCAGACAAATTTGTTGATAAGGTTAGCTAATTGCGGCAAGATTGACGCTTTCGTTAGTCAATATTAGTGTAATCGTCAAATTACAAATTTTCAATGGTGCATGAAGGATAATTATACTTACAGCGAGATGTGGAAATCTTTTATAAAGAAAAATTTTTAGGTTATGTTCGGAGAATTGTATCTCAAAAAATTTTAATTAGCATTGTGTATTTCATTATACAGTCGCGAAAGTTCAAATGTTTGACGTATTTAATAGATAATTATACATGTTATGTAACAATTTCGTAACAATTACAAGATAGGTTTTCTAGGTTATGGTCGGAAAATTGTATCTTAAAAGATTTTAATCAATATTAT